GTTGTTGTGCTTGATGTCGGAGGAAAATGAACACATGGCACACAAATCTATAAATAGAAAATAGTTTGAAATAAATGTTATTGAACTCCACTTATGTGGCGAACGGGCAAACTAAAGGGAGGGGATGGCTTGTTCACCCAACATGCATGCATGCATGCATGTTTGCACTCGATTTACCTAGAAAACAAAAAAAGAAGGAACACAATAAACTAATTGCATGGGATCAATAATAGGCAAACATGGTATTATTGCAAAAGAAAAACAAAACGTCAACAAAGGGTACGGGGGGATGTTAGCTGGGTTAAATTATACACTATAACCATAACTTTTTGCACACACAGCAGCCGCATCAGTGGCAGTACTTCATTGTATGAAAAGGAAGTTTCCAAAAGAGGATTTTTGCTTAATGATAGGCGTCGCAAACCTAACATCAGCCAGGATCCTTAGGTGGTGTTAATATTAATTACAGTATGCTGCTGCTATCCACACACACACACTCCCGTGGATACCTACATTTTTTGTTTTGATTTTCTGAGTGCTCTCATTTACACAACATCACATCAGCATCTTCTCTGGCTTCAATTGTTTAATGACAACATAACGACAGTGTTACTCTCACATACTCATCATCAAATTTCAATGCTGCTGTGCTTAGCTGTTGACATTTTTTTTGTCTTCTTCATCTTCATGTTACATAGGATAATTATCAACACATGCTGGCAACCCTGGGCCCTAGGTTGGTTTTGTTTCATGTTTTCAACTTCCGGCTTCCCTTTTCTTCGCAAAGAGTAAAAGGGGTATTCTTCTTCGTGGGTACATGAACTCTCATCATCTTAAAAAATGGTTAGTTTTTTCATACTTTTTTTTTATTGTTTTACTTGTTTTTGTTCCGCATGTACACATATGTATATGTATGTGTACGAAGCTGATGATGATGAATGAATATGTGTATGAATAAAATATCATTGCCCAAGAGCAGCAAACCAGCAGTCAAAGTCTATGACGGCGCGACAGTTGCCCCGTTAAAACAATGTTTGTTCATTTTGTTATTCTTCTTGCGAGAGAGCGTCGAGTACGTAATGAACATAACCTCATTTCAAGTGTACTTTCTTGGTTGGCTGCCAAAGTTAAGCTTTGCCTGCCACCGCCTGCTGCTGCTGCTACTTAGAGGTTATGGTTAAGTGCCAGCAACGCAGGCATATTTAAACTCTTGAACACACCGAAAAAATACCCGTAGGAGAAAAATGCATTTTCACATACGCGTAGTGAAAAACTACGTACAAACATAGATATACGCTGGGGCATGGTAGTACACGAATGAATGATTCAACATTTTTTCTTCCTGACTTGCCGTTAAACTTTCTATTGTAGAAATAAAAAAAGTGGAAAAAGGGTTTACTGCTACGTTAGGGAACGCTTTTTATTTGAAATTGGTTTTATTAGGAAAAAAATATTATGTTTATTTAAAAAATATATATATATATTACAGTGTGTCATGCAAGCAATCCACTGTCATGGTAAAATTAAGAATGTCAAATTATAGAATTTTCTGTAATTTACCTTGTCAAATTTCACCGCTTAGAAAACAAGTTCCCATCTCTGATTTGTGTATGTACAGTCGATTTATAAATATACATGTTGACAATGAGATATTGTCAAATAAATAAAATATTTTGTCCCTTTCAGATAAAACTTTGATTTATTGCTAAGGTGCAGCTTTAAACTAGTTAGATTCTCCAAGAGTGCAATTTAGCATAATTTCAAAGACTTGCTCGGTAGTGTGTACCCCACTCCAGTAAAGTCAGTTGTAGTTTAAATGGTTGTCTGATTTTGGCAACTCTTTAGAATAACTTCTTTGTTAACATATACCTGACTATAGTAAAAGAAAGTCACATGGCGTTAAGCCGTGTTTGCATAGATGTGAATATCTTTGTCACTTTTGATAAAGAAAGTATCCTCGCAATATTTTTTTTAAGAATCAAATATCTTGTAGACCTTTATTGTCCCTTTAAGATAAAAATTTGATTTATTGCTATGGTGCAGTTAAATTCTCCAAGAGTGCAGTTAAAGCATAAATTCAAAGACTTGCTCGGTAGTAAAGTCAGTTGTAGTGCGTTAAACCATGTTTGCATAGCTGTGGAAATCTTTGGCACTTTTGGGAAAGAAAGAATCCTCGCACATATTTTTGAAAGGTGCCGTTATCCCTTTCCTTTGTTTGAACCTTTCTGCGTTCCTCTTAAATCTCATTAAACAATTTGTGATCTATTTTAAGTTAAATATTTTTCTGCCTGAAGTATTGTTCTGCCCACAGTAGTACCACATTAAAAACAACAAATTGGCAAATTAATGGGTAGGCAACTCCCCAGACCATTAGAAAAATTGCAGCAACGTCATTTAAATGTTGCTGATGCAGCTGTCGACAGTGTGGTCTAGGTAGTGCCTGTCAGAGTTGTTATCATTTTTTCTGCATTCACTTTATTGGTGACAATGAAGAAGAAGCGAGAGAGAGATAGAAGAGTGGAATTTAGTGAAACTCTTTTCCCTAACCACAGACACGTATAGTACTTCAAATGATAATGATTTCCCTGAAGATGCAATGAACTTAAAGGTCATTAACGTTTATTATTTCCACGTTTTTTTCTCTCCCTTTCTTTTGTTTTGCAATAATAAATCCTAAAGTCCGGAATATCTCTGACAAGGGATGGGGTAGTTTGTTGCCACTGAAGTGGTAGACAATTATGTGAGAGATCATCAAATAATAAATTGATTTTATGTTACAATTGTCAAATTGTTGCACAATTTACCCCCATGCCACACACGCACATAAACACACACCATGTGCCGCTAACCGCAATACATCGACCATAGAATAGGTTTTCATTACCGGAACGTCATTTAATTAAATCTAAAACACCCGTTTATTTTATCGAGCATTGATTTCGGGTTTTTTTTTTTTTAAACATTTGTTTAATGTCCTGGCTGGCAAAGTACTTGAAATCAACACACAACAATCAACCACAATGTAACCACAACACATGTCAATGACTTTGTGTTTTGGAAATAAATCCATTGACTTCCCGCTGTTAATACGAGTATATTCAGGATTGTTAAATCTATTTACCAAAACTTTAAAAAGAAGAAGACAGGAAAAATGTTTGCACTTCTGATGAAGAGCAAGTTCAGCAAAAATACTCAATTTGAACTTTACTAGTATTTTAATGTAAATATGAGAAAGACAAGTAACGTAGATATTTACGATCATCTTGTTCATTCCTTGCTTAAATTTGCATTTTATGCCTACAGGCGCTTTAAGTTCTTATAAAATTAATAGTAGAGTGAGTGTTATTGTAAATATGACAAAGACAAGTTGAGTAGACATTATTGATCATCTTCGTCATTGCTCGCTTAAATTTGCATTATATGCCTACAGGCGCGTTAAGTTCTTATCAAATTAATTATAGAGTGCTACTATCTTAAAAAGCTTCGGACTATATTATTCATTCGCTTATATTTCAATTCAATTAAATGTAAAATATGAGTTTACGGTGAATAGTAAATATGAGAAAGACAAGTAGGGTAGACATTATTGATCATCTTCGTCATTACTTGCTTAAATTTGCATTATATGCCTACAGGCGCGTTAAGTTCTTTTCAAATTTATTGTAGAATTCTATTACCATAAAAACTGTGGATAATATTGTCCATTCATTTGCATTTCAATTCAATTCAATTAAATGTAAAATATCACTTTACGGTGAATTGTAAACATGAGAAAGACAAGTAGGGTAGACATTATTGATCATCTTCGTCATTCCTTGCTTAAATTTGCATTATATGCCTACAGACGCGTTACGTTCTTATCAAATTAATATAGAGTGAGTGTTATTATCTTAAAAAACTTCGGACAATGTTATTCATTCGCTTATATTTCAATTCAATTAAATTAAATGTAAAATATAAGTTTACGTTGAATAGTAAATATGAGAAAGACAAGTAGGGTAGACATTATTGATCATCTTCGTCATTCCTTGCTTAAATTTGCATTGAGTGCCTACAGGCGCATTAATTTCTTATCAAATTAATAGTAGCGTCAGTGTTATTATCTTATAAAAGCTGTGGAAAATATTGTTCATTCGTTTATATTTCAATTCAATTATATCAAATGTAAAATATCAGTTTACGGTGAATAGTAAATATGAGAAAGACAAGTAGGGTAGACATTATTGATCATTTCCGGCATTCCTTGCTTAATGCTAGGAACACAATTGGAGCGAACGACGAATTTCGCCCTAGGCGGCGACAAAATGAGCCGCGAAAATTCGTCGTATGGAACACAATACCGACGAAATTATAAAACAGCTGATGAAGTTGTTTACTTTTTGCTCATTTGTTGACTACAATGAATTATACAAGAACACATAATTCTTTACGTTCTCTATTATAATTTCACTTATGTCCATCTTCTCTATTATAAATTCACTGATATCCATCTTCACTCAGGCGCAAGTACACAAATAAATAAACAAATTAATTATGTTTTTTTTATACGAGTAACAGATAGTAGAGTGACCATAACAAATTTTAAAGTAAAAAGTAACTTTATTTACTAAAACACATAAAATTCGTACAAGTATGGCCACCTTGTACTGTTTTGTTCGCCGGTCGCCGGCGTATGAAATAGAAATAAAGCTAATTGAGTTCGCGGCGACCGACGAAATTTTCGCCGGTGCCGTGATTGTGTGCACTTCCATATACACATATGTGTTTTATTTTTGACGACGAACATACGCCGCGAAAAAATTCGTCGTTCGCTCCAATTGTGTTCCTAGCATAAAGTTGCACTATATGCCGACAGGCGCATTAAGCTCTTTGCTATTATTTTAAAAACTGTGGACAATATTGTTCCTTCGTTTGTATTTCAATTCAACATATATCTCTAAATTTATATAACATAAACCCAATTACTAATCATTTGTCTTTTCCACTTATTATCATTACAGATAGCGCCACCTATGTTGGAAATATTTTGAAAATTAAATCTGTCAAAAAGGAAGATCGTGGCACATACTATTGCGTTGCCGATAATGGTGTCAGTGTTGGTGATCGCCGTAACATCAATTTGGAAGTTGAATTTGCCCCCGTAATCACCGTACCCCGTCCCCGCTTGGGTCAAGCCCTGCAATACGATATGGATTTGGAATGTCACATTGAAGCTTATCCACCACCAGCTATTGTCTGGCTTAAGGATGATATCCAGCTGTCCAACAATCAACATTACAGCATTTCCCATTTTGCCACAGCCGATGAATATACCGATTCCACTCTGCGTGTTATAACCATTGAAAAACGTCAATATGGTGACTATGTGTGCAAGGCGGTTAATAAATTGGGCCAGGCTGAGGCTAGAGTAAACCTGTTCGAAACTGTCATTCCCGTGTGTCCACCAGCATGTGGTCAGGCCTATTATGGTGATGCTGAACGTGTGGCTGCCACATCTTTGGCCGCATTGGGTGTTGTATTAGCGTTTTTATTTACCAGATAAATCGGTGGACATGGGGAGACCATCAGAGAAACACCAGTGATTGAAATGAGTGTGTAACGCCGCCAATTATATAATACAAACAAAAACAAAACAAAAAATATATAACGAACATCTATGTAAAGTGATCAAATAGAGGTGAGCTTCTATGGCGAACGAAAAATTAAAGAAAAAAACGAAACAAAACATTCCAAAACAACAATATATGTTATGACTACATAGAAGAAGACCTTTCCTTCACCACATATATTCGCAAGGTTTTAAATTATTGTACGTCCATCCATTTTTAAGTTAATTGTATTAGCAATTAAACAAATGAAAATGAATTCAATTGATTAACCCTTAACCCGTCCGTTTTTTATTATGTATACTAAAAAAGGAACTCAGCAACAAATAAAAAAGTGTAAAAAAGGACAATTGATATTTCGTCTTTTTTGCAAGAATCTCTCTAATACTTCACAAATAAATATTATAATTTTTTTTCAAATATCTTCCATCACCTTCAAAAACATCACAAATAAAAAATTTCAAAATTATTATTTAAGGGAAAATATTTTATATTTATTTAATAATTTATAAAATATTTTCTTCTTATTTGCATGAGACAGTCAAAAAACAACTGCATATTTACATACAAAACAAAAAAACGACTGTTTGTTTTCTTTTCTATAGTAATGTAAAATAAAATCCAAAAAATTAATTATATATCTTTCAATATCATTTTAAAAATTTTCAAAAGAAAAACAAACACAATATAGTAATTAAGTATGTTTAATTTTTTTAAATGATAATCTACATACATCAATCAGTTTTAATAAGTTTACAAATCATGTTCTTCTTAAGGGTAGCACTATAAAAAAAAAACAAAAAGATTTTTTTTGAAAACATTTGACAAAGAGAATAAAATAAAACAATTTTATACAACTATTTGTATATGTGTAGTTTTTATAATATAATAATATTAATAATTTTATAAATACTAAGTCTTAAGTTTGTGTAAAACCCTTTCGCTAGAAACCCATATGCAAAAAGAAAAAAACAACAGACATTATACGTTTCCATTGAAAACCCTGGGTGTAAATATTACTAAGAAAGTTTTAATTATTTTAATATAGGCAAAAACAAAAAAAAACAACAACAAGTATATTATATGTAATCGCCTCAATTTATACGAAACAAAAAAATATAAATAAAATTAAAAAAAAAACATGAAAATTGTGTGTTATTATTTTTTTTAATAGATTGACGAGGTATAAACACATGCCAAGTGTTTATTGCAAATTGGTATATACAGGGTGAGATTAAACAACTGCAACAAAGTCAAACGGCATAATTTTTACATTTTTTTAAATTTTATTGAATGAAAGCAAAAAATGTCGGAAATAGCATTAAATTTTAGAATTTTTTCGAATTGGTCACATTTGGCACAAATTATGGCCTTCAAACGACCAATGAAACCGCCACACGCTGCCCGAATGTTGCTCTGCGGTATTTTGGCCCATTCCCGACCTGATTTTTTAATATTTGTCGAAAGGAATACTACGATATCTTCAGCTCACGAGCCATTTTTCGGTCACCTAGATGCGAACCATTTCTGCTGATGTTGCTGTTTTCTTCCGTCCACTTCCTTGACGTCCAGTATCAGGCTAACGAGCAATGGTACGAGACACAAAAGATTTATTCAAATTTAAATGCTGGAGTGCTCTAACGATAGCCACTTGTGGTTTTCCAGCCAAATATAAAGAAATCACACTATCACGCTTGAATTCCATCACGAATAACTTTTTTTTTTCTGGAAAATTCTCACCAAAATGCTTTTGTACGCTTGTAAACAATATAATGAGCTGTCACTGGAATAATTTTTACAGCTGTCGGACGAGTTGCTTAGAAATGAGAGCAGTCTGAAGTTGGCTGGAGTTTTTTTATCTCACCCTGTATTTGTTATTAAAATAACATTTTTATTACTTGACAGTGTTACAAGTTCTCATAAAAATACAATTTCACTTGCAAAATCCAAAATGGTTTCGAACCGAAAAAATCCTTTTTTGGTTTTCTGAAGAAACAGAATACGGAATTAAATTCACATTCGTTCGGAATTCGTTCCTGTGGCATGCTTAATAAATTCAAATCAACTTTATTAGTTCAAAAATTTTGCGCCTAAATGTATGCTTTAAAATTCCTAAATGTGAACAATAGAAAAGGTGTAAAATGTTTTAAGTATTTTAAAATTTGTAAAAATTTGGTTAAAAATTAAATTAATAATTTGCATATAGAATATATTGTCATTGTGGAGGAAATTGGTATTTTTAAAATACTGAAATTTGATGACTATTTAACAATATCGGTACGTGAGAAACTTCTTCCAGTACAAGATCATAACATTCGCAAGTATTCTAAAACATTTTGGGATGAATTTTCATCAACCCCGGCAAAAGTAACCAAAATAGTGAATTTCAGCATCAGGAATTATTTTTTCTTCAACAAACTTTGTAGTCGTATGAATTTTTAAATAAATATTAAACAAATTAATAATTTTTTACATTTTATTTAAATTTAGAAACACACACACACAGATATCACAAAAAAATAAACAAATGATTTGAGAGCAATAATTTTGAGCTATAATGTCTTTTTATCTCTCCTGTGCAAATTGAACAATTTTCTTTGAAGTGCCACTTAATTTTCTATCGAGACTTGAGTCCATAACTTCAATTGGAATTCTATTGTAATTAGCTTGATATATTATTACATCATCTCATCCACCGAAGAATGCCAATTGCCATTTTCAATCATCACTTGATTGAATTGCCAGTGGTTGCAATACGAATAAACATGGTAAGTTCGCCTTCATAATCTGCATAGGTTTGATTGTTGAACGTTTTCGTTGGTGGTATGAAGTGCCGCAAAGGATTCTCAATTAGGAAGTCATAAAATTTAGCCAATTTCTGTAAACTGTGAAGGGTATTAACGGAGCAAACATCAATTTTATCTAGTACTTCAATAATGCGGTCATGCTGTTGCTTGGCTTTTTGCTTGTACTGTTGCGGGTCAACTGAAATTATGAAAAAAGAAAAATCCAATTGAAAATATTTGGTGTTTCATGAATGAATGCAATTTTGAGAGCAGATTGGAGGGGTCATAAGTTTTCGAACAACATACCCAAAAATGTGTCCAAATTCAATTTCAAATCATTTGAATGTTGTGCAATTAAGTCCGCCCACAAAATACGATTTCGTACTTCCTGCAAAGCGCCAAATGGTGTAAGTAAAACGCCTGGAGCCAATTGAACCGTTGATGACAGTTCACTTGTTTCAGTTATCAAGGGATTGGGTGCCAAATAAAATAAACTGTAATGAAACGAAAAGAAGAACAAATAACATGTTGTGAATACGAACATTGTAAGGAGGAAGGTGGTTGTTTGTTACCTTTCTTTGCGCAAGCAAGAAATGTGCTCCAATGGTGTTTCACAAAATGTCGCCAATTCCAAGGTGTGAGATGGCAAAACAGTATTCTGAGCCTGAGGCGACATCAATGTTATATCGCCAGCACCACCAAAACTTCGACGTAATGTTGTGTTGTTCAAAGAGCTGATGGTTGAGTCAAAATCTAATTTCGTACTGCAGAAAACATTGTCGTTCGTCAGCTCAAAACTTTCAGCACCCACCAAGGACATGTTATTGTTGTGGGTGATTTTTAATTTTGTTGGTTTGAAATTTGATTTGACCATGGTGTTGTTGGCCATCATGGCTTGCAAATCGTCCAGTTGATGTTTCATGATATTTTTCGAATAGATTATTTTATCTTTGATTTGTGACAATTGCATCATATCGTATTGTAATTTGTTGACCGAAGCACTTATTTCGCCATAGACTTGTTTTATTGAACCGAGAAGGACCTAAAAGAAAAACAAGATTCCTTTAAATAAAAAAATCGATAAAAATAAGTCGGGTTTCTTGATTTTGTATCCAAGAAATCAACATCCTCTGTAGAGAGTATTTTGTAAAAAAAATGGGGCTACTTTTGATTTAAGAAAATCAAGTTTTTCTTTAAAAATCGATTTCATAAAAAAAGTACTTTCTTACCTCGTGATTTTCCAAATATTTCTGGGCCGTTTCTAATTCAGTTTTCAAAATATCAATCTGCTGAGTTAAATATTCATTCTCACCCTTGGTAAAGTTTAGAAAATTATACTCAACCACATAGTTTCGCATTATTTCTTCGCTGTGTTCACTATCCAAATCGTTGCTAAATATTTTAACTTTTTCCAAAAGTTTATCTTCAAAATCTTCATAGTTTTTAGGAAATTGCATTTCCAAGTTTTTACGTTCTTGACATGCTGTTAAATATTTGCCAACAATACCGAGAAAACTGGATTTAGCTTTCATGAAATTCATTTCGAAATTTGTCAAAGGATCGCGACTGTTTCCGGTAAGGTGTGAATCGTTATTAATGGTCTTATTCAGAGACATAATATGATATAATTGCTCCTCCTTTAAACGTATGATGGTATTGAAAATAAGAAAATTCGGAATATTGGCAAATATTTGACGCATTTTTGACCATAACTGTGTCTTGGCATCCTGTAACACTTGATCTGAAACATACGATAGAAAACAATTCTTTAATTTATGAATTTTTGTGGATAATTGGCAGATTCTTACAATTCGTATTTTGTTCACAGAACGTATAGAAATCTTCAAGTTCCTTTAAAGCCTTAAGCACTGCTTCGTTTGCTTTCTGTTCACTTTTATTCTCATGGGTCAACACAACAGGCATTGTTGCTTTAATTTTATCCCGATTGGCTTCTTCTCGTTTTATGTTTTTATCCAATGATTTAGACTTGAAATCCAACAGATGTACCCTTGCCTCCAGGAGATCACATTTGTGTTCCATATTTGCAATTTGTATATCTTAAAGGGAACAAGTCATAAAATGTTGTTACGAAAATACATATGGGAAATATAAATAAATTGTACTTTTTGTCTTTATTGAAGCTGCCTGCGCTTCAAATTCTTTTTTGCGTTCCTCAAGGCGTTGTTCCATATCTTTAAGCTTTTTGCGCACATCCTGAACTTTGAGATGCATTTGCAATTCTTGCGGTAAAAAGGATCTTTCACAAACCTATAAAGGATACTCCATAAATAAATTTTCGTGATACAGATTTCTTAAATATATTTTATCTTACCGACAAAACTTGCCCTTTGATCTTTTCGACCTTGTGTATCAATATATTTTCCTTAATATCCTTGACCTCTTGGCGCGGTCGTACACGGCGCATTAGATTGCAAAAGAGATCGCGCTGGCGAGATTTGAAAACTCTGAAAAACATAAGATTTACAATGACAGGCCGATAATACAACAACAAAATACACAGTAAGTAGCATTTCTCACAATACAATGATCGTAAATTACCCTGGGTGGGGCTGCTGCATCTACTGTCCATGGAGCTAGTTATTTTTCTTACAAATATATATCATTTTACCATACCATAAAATTGCTTATGTTGGAAAAGGTCACAAATCTAGTCCATACGTTGGTTTTATCGTTGAGTTAACAAAAATTTTTGCACAATTCATTTTACAAAGATTTTACAACTTACGACTTTAAGGCATCTTCGCTGGGCATGGCTTCCGGAGGGCAACCGAGTTTGGTAGCCCATACACGAAATGATTCCATGTCCTCTTCTATAGTCATTTTTGTGATTCGACAGTTATTTTTTAATAATCTTCAAGGAAAATGTAATTAAATAAATTGCTCTTGTTTTTAAGGCGCGCTCTTTGATGTCTAGCAATTGACAGAACCTGTTATCATCTCATCGTGAATACAGACTCAATTCTCATACCTTAGCGATTATCAGAAAACACAACGCCATTAAAATCAAAACAGTCGTCTCAGACTTTTCATTTTTGACAGCGCGGTTTTTTCTTCTACGCCAGCATCTGTCAGACGTATTATGTTTTTTTTTCTTCATTCAAAATTTTCATAGATCAGTGAAACATGAATATCTATTTCGTTGCTAGTTTATTTGTGTGAAAAACTAAGAAATTTATATATTATTTGATAAAATATCTAAACAAAACAAAAGAAACAATGAATTATGTACAAAAATACTTTAAGAGACAACAGGGAGAGGGTGAGTGTTGTGAAAATTATTTATTTAATTAGTGCAATGCAAGTGTTGAAATGTTGTTGTGTTGGATTGGTGGGGGGGCTTGCAGAGAGTATAACAACAAAAACATTTTGGCGGTTTAACTAAAAGAAAGGCATATATTTTGGCTCCAAAACCCCCACTTCGGGCAAACAAGGCGGGAAATTTTGTGCGCCAATAAATTTTTTGGCAGATAAATAGAAAATATGTGTGTCGAATATGAACACACAAATATTTGTAACAATTCGCGTTGATGTCAAAAATATGCTGGTAGTGCATTTTTCATGTTATTAATTGTGTTCTTTATATTCTTTGTATTATTGCAGCAGGTGACCTGAGTTATGATTTTGCATTGAAGCGTTTATGTGTGGCCAAAGAGGACAGCTGGCGGGGCATACAACCATCCAATTATAGCTCCGATTTTAATCCAGAGCCACCAATATTTGCAGCAAAATTTGCCAATTGTGATGGATATCGTCATATGTTGGCCATTGCCAATGAGGATGGAAAGATTGCCTTGCAAGACACCACCAAACGGAACTATGAGGCTGAGGAGAAGGCATTGACAGCACCACAGTGTCATTACAATGCTGTGTTTGATTTGGAATGGGCTCCCGGGCAGATGCGTTTCATATCAGCTTCAGGTGATCACACAGCTCGCCTGTGGGAAGTAACAAATAGCGAGATTGTAGGCATACGACCATTTGTTGGCCATACGCGGTCTGTAAAAACTGCAGCATTTCGTAAAAATGATTCGTCGGTGTTTGCAACAGGCGGCCGAGATGGTGCAATCATAATATGGGATACGAGGGCAAATCTAAATGTAGATATGACACCACGAGCTGATAATTGCATTTATAGTGGCCATGTTGGTGGACCCGGGACACCAGTTTCGCAGAGGAAACGTTCTCGAACACCGAAAATGCCACCAAACACAACGTCAAGTAGTATTACAGGATTAGCATTTCAAGTGAGTATAAAAATAGAAGTTGACAGCCAATAATGCCCCCTACCGTAATATCTCTTTTTATTGCATATGACACGATTTCATATGTGTTTGTATGGATTTTTGTGACTAACTTTGCCCTCTTTTAGGATGAAAACACATTGATCTCTTGCGGAGCAGGCGATGGAATTATTAAAGTCTGGGACCTGAGACGTAACTACAGCACCTATAAGAAAGAGCCCCATCCCAAGTATAGCTTACCTTATGCGGGGACATCTACCTTTAAGGGGTTTACAAATTTAATTGTCGATGAATCGGGATGTCGTCTGTTTGCTAACTGCATGGATAATACAATTTATTGTTATAACCTCCATTCCTACTCACCAAAGCCCCTGGCCCGTTATAGAGGCCTTTTAAACAGTACATTTTATATTAAATCTTGCCTTAGTCCTGATGGAAAATATTTGCTAAGTGGCAGTTCCGATGAGAAGGCCTACGTATGGAATTTGGAGTATCCTGATGAACCACTGGTAGGCTTATCCGGTCATGCCGTGGAAGTAACATGTGTAGCCTGGGGCTCCACATATGACTGTCCCATTGTGACCTGTAGTGATGATGCCCGCCACAAGATATGGCGTATTGGCCCTGAACAAATATCTGAATCTGATAAGCAGGAAAATTATAGAGGTCATGCAGAGTACGTTATGAAATTTACAAAACCCACAAATCATTCAGCATCCACGCATAAGTATAATTTGAGAGAACTGGAGTCGACACCAAGATCATTGAAAAGACTGGTCGAACAAAATGAGCGCACACCAAATACAGTGGAAAAGGTTGCAACAAAACGCAGTTTCCTCGAGATGTTGGGTGCTGCTGCCAACAATCCGGAGGGGGTAGATGGTGAAAATGAAATGCCAGAAAACAAAAGGCAAAAGACATTGGAAACACGAGGTCGACGACTTTTCAGTCCTTGTCCGTCCACAACAAGTTCTGTGATTGCAAGTACCTCCTTGGGTTTGTCGGCGAGATGTTTGCAAAAACAATTAACTTCCATACCTGAAGAAAATGCCAGTGCATTGAATACTCCAAGTTATGTTACAAATAATGATTCTAATCAAGAGAATAACCAACAAACCACAGTCCTAAACACACCTCCGTCCAGTATTGGTATATCGAAAATATTTCCCTCATGCCAGACAACACCTTCACCCCTGGCCGAACGGAAGCCGGTGCTAGACACGAATCTCAATGCTGCTTCCTACACATCTCCGCCCTCGACAAGTCAGCAGGCCAACATAAACTCAGGCCAATCTTCAATGTCTTCAATGATATATTCGCCCACATCTAATTTACCCAATTATGTGCTGGATGGCGAAGCACCACATTTGGGCATTATGTCACCCAAACGTAAAATAAAAGAAAAAGTAGACTGGTTAACAAAAATGCGAAAACAAAAATTGCTATCCACATGTCGGGGTACCACATTAGCGGAAAAAATGCAAGACTCCATGAATACGGGGCAGACGAATGAATCTAATGCGGGTTTGGGAGGGGGAGGTGGAGTTGGGCCTGTTGCAGCAGTTGCTTCGCCTCGTCTACAAAGCTTAAGACAATCCGAAAGCAGTCCTAAATCTACAACGCCCAGACGTCGGCTGTCACAAAATCATCACATGTCACCATCATCGCCCCACTCACAACCTAGAACGCCTACATCGAGTAGAAGGAATAGTGAGACAACCTTACTACGATTTTTCAGTATTCAACCCTCCCAAAATGCATCTCCGGCAGTTTCTAGTCAAGATACCCGGAGCTCATCATCAACAGGTGTGACAACATCCGTTTCCAACGCAGACGTTGGTGAAATGAGACCTTTATCGCCAGCCCCTGCCACAACAACACAAGAAACGTGTACGAATCCTGCGTCAAGTACACATACCTCTGGCGCAAATAACGGCACTACAAATTCACTGCCTGCAACTGCTGCAACAACATGTACTGAGTGACCGAGTAGTTCAAATTGCTCAAGCCCAAAACTTTTACTACTTTTTACTTTACTTTTCTAAATTATTATTTTTCACATCTAGTTGTAATCTTTATTTTTCTATTATTTTGTTTTATTAACAAATGTTGTTTTTCGCCTATTTTTTTAAATGCTTAATTTTTCAAGCTCTATTACGATTTATTGGTTACAATGTCTGGAATTACAACTGTCACTGATCCCCAAAACATGGTTATAAGACAATATAAATTAAACTTATCACTGAGATTTCGTTTAAAAACCAGTTGCTAACAAATCGATCGTAATAGAGAAACACTTTTCTTATTTTATTTTCATTGGCGTTTATTGTTTATAGTTTTTAAATTATATAGTTTGTAAATTAATTGCATAGTTTTAAGCATTTAATATAAGTGAATTTTTTTATATACAAACTAAAACCTTCCCTACATTACAAAAGGGAAGGAGTGAAAAAATCTTTTTTGGTTTTTCATTTTCGAAAATTGGTAACCAATTTCCGAACATGAAAAATCAGCTAAAACACACACAGAACCAATAAAGACTTATAAATGTATTTATAAAATAGAAACTAAAGTGAAAAATGTTTTTGATTTGATTGTTTAGACAATAATACCTTGACTTGTTAGAAAAAAAAAAAAAAAATACTCGCAGAAATACATAAATATATCTTATCTACAAAGACTATGAAATGCATGAACAATTATTTTAATGTACAAATACCTACTATTATTTTTTAGAATGAACAGCTGCATGTGAAACCCCAAAAGGCTATTAACAATAAATAATTACAAAAAGAAGAGTTATACTTTTTGTTTAAGAATTGTTTACTTAAGAGATAATATAACCTTAAGTTATATACAGGGTGAGATGGAAAAACTGCAACCAACTTCAAACTGCTGTCATTTCTAAGCCACTCGTCCGACAGCTGTTAAAATTATTCCAGTGACAGCTCATTATATTGTTTACAAGCGTACAAAAGCATTTTGGTGAGAATTTTCTAGAAAAAAGTAATTCCTGATGGAATTTAAGCGTGATAGTGTGATTTCTTTATATTTGGCTGGAGCACCCCAGTACTTAAATGTAAATAAATCTTTTGTGTTTCGTACCATCGCTCGTTACCGTGATGTAGAAAGAAAATAGACTCAAAAGAGATGCTTCGTTTGGCCGAAAGTGGTGAACTGCCGAATTTGGTTTTCTCCGATGAGAAAACATTCGTTGTCCAGCAGTTTGTAAGCAAACAAAACTTGCCAAAGAGGTCAGCTAAAATTTTGCACCTTCGGTTGGCCTGCAGAACTCAAGCGCTGCGATAACAGCCGATGGTCGCTCTCCGCTCGTATTAATCGACCGTGGCGTCAGAATAAATGCCAAATATTATCGCGAAAATATTCTGGAGGGTGTATTAAAGCCTTGGGCACGCAAACATTTTGTCCGCAGACCTTGGATATTCCAACAGGACTCAGCACGCGCCACCTAAGAATGGTTACAAAATGTGGATCCTCGCTTTATTTCCAGCGCACAATGGCCACCAAAATCTCCGGATACCAATCCGTTGGACTATTGTGTCTGAATTATTTTGGAAACAAGGTTGGCTCTAAAAAATACCAAAGTGTCGATCACATCAAGCAAGCGCTTCCCCGGGAATGGGCCAAAATACCGCAGAGCAACATTCGGGCAGCATGTGACGGTTTCATTGGCCGTTTAAAGGCCACAATTAGTGCCAAAGGTGACCAATTCGAGCAAATCTAAACTTATTCTAAAATTTGCTTTCATTCAATAAAATTTAAAAAAATATATAGATAAAAGTTGTGGCGTTTGACTTTTTTGGAGTTTTTTTTTATCTCACCCTGTATGTGCAAGATTTCCAATATTTGGACAGGCTGAAATTTCTTGTCCGCATGTGCCCATCAACATTTCTGGAAAGAATATCAAGTTTAGGAATTGAAAAGGGGGTTTATCTGAGTATATGTCGCTTCTAAAATGTTCTCTCTCACGGCTCGCTTCTCCTTCCCGCAATTTGTTAACGCTTGAGTAGGGACCAACCACTTGAGGACTTGCAAAAGTGTAAGAAAACAAAAATTCAGTTTCATTTTCTAAAATCGTAAAGCTTTATTAAGGTCTTTGTTTTTATTTTATTTTTTGACAAAATGTTAACTTTCATTCTTAAAAACGATGTTTAATCAATCATGCTTTTTTGCTCTTTGGACCTGATCCTTTGGCACTTGATATTGAACCGTTGGTAGTTTTTTCTTGTTGCTTCTTTTGTTCTTGCTGCTGTTTGCGTACGGTTTCACTTTGATTTATGGTCTTGAACATTGCACGGGCCACTCCAAACAACAAAATCAAATGACAGACATGTAAAACATACGAAGAAAAGTTGGTACTTGGATAAGTATTCCAACAGTACTCAATTAGACCCAAAAGTAGATAACGAGTACCCAGACTGAATTCAGCGGACCAAGCTAAATATGGCAGAGAATGGAAATACCAAACATAGAATTGATAATGCAGAGAGCGGGCGCACAATACGCCGATGAAGTTGCATAAAAAGAATGGCAGCAAAGCCAGTTGAGTACATTGATCAAAATGTATTGACACTTTGTCTTCAACGTTGGACGGGCTTGGTTCTTTTGGCTTCTTGATGGGAGCCTTTAAACCAGATGCCTTCTGTAAACTTTTCTCAAAGCTGTGAAGAAAAGCCTCCTGATCTGGGGTCAATTGTTCCTCATCGTCCATAATTGGTTTGGTTTCTGCAGCTGTCTTCTTAGCTTTGGCCATTTTGTTTTCTTTTAATTTTCGATTTTGTTCCGTAAGTTGGGGTTGTAGCATATCCTGCAAGGCCCTTAGGCGTACATAATTTTTAAAATACTTTATCGTCGGATTGGCAAAAACAAATATCAATAGCAAGTGCATTCCCAGGAGGCTCAAATGGAAGAATTTATTTTCAAAGAATTCTCTTGGTAGAAATCTATAATTCACCGTCCATTTATGTTCAAATACGCGTCCCAAATCAAAGCTTCCCTTGACATATGACCAGGGATAGGTCAAAAGGAATGGTAAGCCAATTATCAACTGCAAGACGCCACACACTGCCAATTGTATAATTGTTTTGACCACACCCAAGTTTATAATGTAAAATGCCAGTAGGGCTGGAGCAAATAATAAAATATTCATTTTACAACCGACTCCAATACTGAAACATATGCTACCCCATGTCCATCGTCGATCCAAAAATAGATTCAGCGCAGCATAGAGAAATAGTATGGCGACAGGATCATTAAATAGCCGCAGAACATAAATTGAATGAATCCGATATGAGGTAAAGGCACTTATTACCAAGACATATGGTGGTACTTTACGACTTTTGCCATATAGTCGTAAAACTAACCACATTTGCAGTAAATAAATGATGCAAAAGATATACTGGGCCAAACGAATATTTTCTCCGTGGGATGTAATGAAATACAACGCCGAATATATATAGACAAAGGCAGCAGGATAGACCAGAGGTCCCGTATCACCTGTAAAGAAAAAGAATTTAGTTTTGAACCCTTAATGAATAAAAATGACCTATTTTTTTTGGAAATAAAATTGAGTTTTTGAGACAAACGATGAATAAGGATCTATCGCTTTTTATTAGATACTCTTTCGAAAAACATAATATCCTAAAACATAGCCGTAGATAATGGAGCAATGAAAACGGACTTTTCTATTATTTAGACATTTAAATTCCAAGCCAAGGAATGTTTTTCAAGTTAAACTTTCTAGGAGTAAAAAGTTCTCCAATAAAGCAAAGTTAAATGTAGTTTCAGGAAAATGCGTGAAGGAAGCCAAGAAGAAATATAATCATAAGTAAATTAATTGTTTTTGCAATCATATTTTGATTTTCTATATTTCTCATTTCTATTATTTCCCAGCCTAACGTTCGTGAATTTTGTAAACACGGCCTTCACGCAACCATGTCGTCATTACTCTGTGAATGATTACTCCATTTGACATCTAACATGCTATTGTGAATTATCGCATTGAACAGCATGCGAGTTACGGCATTTCATCAGCTGAAAATTGTGTGAGAAACTTTTCGGGGGACAATTTCGAGAAAGAAAAAAATCATTGTTCCAAAATGATAACGTGTAATCGCCTAAATTTACATCTGTTACGAAAAGTATCAATTAAAAGTTTGCCCGCACAATCTTTGCTAGCCGTCAACAGCAATGTTCGACAAAATCAGTCAAAACTTCTAACGACGATTACATTTACGACAACACAGATCCACAAAAATCAAATCAACACTCAGGGAAGTCTAGAATGTCAGCGGCGTAAGTTCCACACAACAAATGAATTAAAAGCAAAAGATTATTACCAAACGTTGGGAGTGGCCAAAAATGCTTCGTCTAAGGAAATCAAAAAGGCCTACTATCAACTGGCCAAGAAATATCACCCCGATACAAATAAAGACGATCCCGATGCCAGTCGTAAATTCCAAGAGGTCTCTGAAGCATACGAAGTTCTAAGCGATGATACCAAGAGACGTGAATATGATACTTATGGCCAGACAACAGAAAATATGAACCGACAAGGTGGAGGATTCGGCGGCCATGGACCTCAAGGTTTTTCACAAAATTGGCAGTTCCGATCAACCATTGATCCCGAAGAGCTATTCCGTAAAATATTCGGTGATGGCGGCAATTTCCGTTCGAATGCCTTTGACGACTTTGCTGAGTCTCAATATGGGTTTGGACGTGCCCAAGAGGTGGTAATGGACTTATCTTTCGCACAGGCGGCCAGGGGTGTCAACAAAGATATAAATGTCAATGTGGTTGATACATGTCCCAAGTGTAACGGCAGCAAATGTGAGCCTGGTACAAAACCTGGACGTTGCCAATATTGCAATGGTACAGGTATGGAAACCATTTCAACAGGGCCATTTGTTATGCGTTCCACCTGTCGCTATTGTCAGGGCACCCGGCAATACATTAAATACCCCTGTGGAGAATGTGAAGGAAAAGGTCAAACGGTACAAAGAAAGAAGGTGACAGTTCCTGTACCCGCCGGTATTGAAAATGGACAAACGGTACGCATGCAGGTGGGCAAGAGGGAATTGTTCATTACTTTCCGTGTGGAACCAAGTAAATACTTTAGACGTGATGGCGCCGATGTCCACACCGATGCAGTTATCTCTTTGGCCCAGGCCGTATTGGGTGGCACAATACGTGTGGAAGGTGTTTACGAAGATCAGTGGCTTAATATTGAGCCCGGCACATCATCCCATCACAAAATCTTCCTCAAAGGAAAAGGTCTTAAGCGTGTAAATGCCCATGGTCATGGCGATCACTATATAAATATTAAAATCGAAATTCCAAAATCATTAACCAAAGAACAAAAGGAGCTAATGCAGCAGTATGCTGAATTGGAGACCAACACCCCCGGATCGGTACATGGTATCACGAAACGAACGGATGGCAGCAAGAAAGCAACGTAAAGTATAGAAATAAAACAATCAATTAAGAAAACAACCGTTATTTTGAAAATTTCAAATTGTTTCCAGATCTTCCAATACCGCCGCCAGCAGTAGTACGACGACATCACAACAGCAAGCCGAACAAAAATCAAGTGGAACAAATACAGAGAAAACTCCTCCATCCGAATCAAGTAAATTAGAAGAAGACGAAAAGAAAGATTCCGGATTTTTCTCTAAGCTAAAGTCTATGTTTAATTGATTAGCTATAATTGAATATGTGTTTCTTTAGGATTTTTTTACTGTTTCATTGTAAATGTTGATGTCTGGCAAGGATTGTTACAAAACAGTACAAGAAGATGAACGAACATTGCTTGAGACCTCTTATTAATTTTACAATCTAGTTTTAATTGTACATGAAAAAAAAAATACAACAACAAAAAAGCCCGTTATGTTATCTAATTGTTAGTTATTTTAATTTGTAAAAAAATAACACAATAAAACAAAAGAAAAACAAACAGAAAGAATTAATGGTTTAAAGAATATTAAAGAAATTTTGTTGGAAAGAGATCCACAGAAGCGTGTCATGGGGGATGTCTTACAAAAGAAGGAAGCTTTTATAAAAGATATTTTCAGATATTCTCCTTAAATTTTGGGAGTAAATGTATTTTTAGGTTTTGACTGCTACAATCGGCCTAGGAAATCATCCTATTTGTAAGTTCTTCTAATAACTTTTTTGAGTATTGGAATAAAAATTGTCTTCAGTAAGTGCCAATAGTACCATAATTGTTTTACATGTAAACATGGATACCTCACTAATAAAAAGGACCTTCGAGTTGGAGATATCCTTGACAAAATTGACTTCTTCTAATTAAAAATTTATTTTTTTTTCAAAAATAAATATTCCAAGAGGTATGTATTAAATAACAATCAAAATGCCGAAACCGCAGCAACAAATGTTGCCGAAACATAACGCACAACTTCGTTCGCCCAAATGTAAACAAAAATAGAACAAGCTAAACACATTTTAGGAAGCCTCCTGACAGTGCCATAATAGGCTAAAAATAAGACAACAATAAAACAAATTCAATTAACAAAACTTACCTCTTAGTTGGGAATAATCGGTGGTTCCATTCAGAAATCCTTCACATTCTTGCATATATGCTTTCCAATCAATTTCCGTATATGGTACTCGATTTACCACCAAGACATTTAGCACCAATTCCGCCAACAATATAAAAACCGTGACAATGGGCAATGCAGCCGGATCGAAGATCAAAAATTTTGCATATTCAAAGTTTACATATTTCTTATAGAATCTTTGGAAGAAATTTTGACGTTTATTGGATCGTACAGGAAGTTTTGTAGATGTGGGTGGCATTTTGGAACCAACTCCATGAAATATCAGCCGGCACACACACACGATGTGATCCGAAGTGAACTAGTTCGTTTCCCTGAATGAACTTGGTTTAGATATTCACTGAATGGAGTTGTCGGTACTAGTTCTAAAACATGTCAACTCATATAATAGAGAAATATAAGATAGGATGAGATAAAAATAGACATGAACATAAACCCATAACGCCAACTATATTTAAAACATAAACTGTTATAATTGCTCCCTCGTTCGTGTTAAAAAAAACAAATGTAATGACAAAATTATTATAGGGAAGTGATGCCACACCATCTAAATGGCACACTAAGTTGTGTGGCCACATGTCAAGTTAGCTCATCTAATACAGTATTTACATGCAATAAGGGAATTCGTAAATATATATTTACACTATGACAAATTCATATTTTTTACGAAATATGGTCTGTTTTAGAACTGCATGGATGTAAAACATTTTACATTTTTCCATCAATTATATCGAAAAATATTGCAAAACTAGTAGATTCTTGCAGGTCTTGGAACAGAGCAATAATAGACAACAATTTTCGCATGGCAGAAGAATACAGGTAGATGCATCAACGCTTGGGAGCATTGATATGTCAAAAAAATGTAAATGTTTTTTCAAATATAAGTAGATTTTTATATGTTTTCTTATACTACGTCATTCGGAGGCTACTATATTTCGCGTTTTTCAAAAACTTTTGCAAATTTAAATAATTTTTCATTCAACATTTTCAATTCCAAAATTGGTTTGACAGTTCATTGTCCCAGCAGCTGTCTCGACGCGTCTACCTATATTCTTCTACCATGAATTTTCGATAGCTCAAAATTTGATTAAAATTGTAGCAAGCTAGCATCAAAATTAGCGGAAAAATTACAGTTCGCTTTATTGAAAATTTTGCGTGTTTAAACACAAAAAATTTAAGAATCATGCAAATAACTATACTAAATGCCTTCAATTACTAAATCCCGCTATAATAAAAAAAATAAAAGAAAATCTTTTATTATTTCTATTATTTGTGTAAAATTATATACTTTCGCAGGAATTTGGTTCAATTTGCATATTTTGCGAGTGATTTGCAAAAATGTGTTTTTTTTTTTTGTAATTCAATATGATGGATTTACTTGTTTTGGTTATAGTGGCAAACATTCGTTATACATACTCTAACTGATAGTGGTAAAAAATATAGCCACCATAGATCCCCAGGCCCATTATATCGGTCAGCTGTTATCGTTTCTTATCACAATAACTTTTTTTATTATTATTCTTATCAATGACAGAAATTCAGAGCCACATACACACAAGTAGATGGGAGGGAGACAGTACCGATGAGAAGAGCGAGGAGAGCATGATTGTTTGCCAACGACACATCAAGTTGGCAAGCAGTGATAATGTTGCTGATAATGCACCCCATTTGAATTTGTTGTTGTTGTTTATAGTTAGTTGCCTTTTGCGGGGCCATAAATCAATAATGTATTAATGCTGATAACACAGACATAAAGTTAATCATTTTTAACACAGCTTGTCTATTATCAACTAGCAGCTTTTGTGTTTAATCCATTAAGTTTTTGTCCATATGTGTAATTGAAATGTACCAACATGAAGACAATTGCAAGGAGTAGATTTCAAACAACAAAAATGCAAAATGATACAGTGATCATTGTTTGCATTGTTTGCAAATGATTACCGTGGTAGAAGAATGCAAGTAGTCACATCGACACAGCTGCTGGGACAGTGAACTGTCAAACCAATTTTAAAATTGAAAATTTTGAATGGAAAACTATAAAAAATAAGTAAAACTTTTTGAAAAATGCAAATTGTAAAAACCTTCGATTCCTTTCGTATAAAAAATTTTATAAAAATCTACTTACTTTTTGAAAAAATCATTCTAACATATTTGACATATCAATGTTCCCAAGCGTTGATGCATCTACCTCTATCTTCTATAATGGATGTTACACTGGCCCTGGGTTTTCACAACTACTAAGAAACCCCTTCAAAGGTCATGTAAAACCAGCTTTACATTGACATCTAAATTAGGCGTATAATAAAAAAAGACAGATCTTCGTAAAAAGTTTAATAAAGATATCTACGTAATGCAAGGGCGAGAAGGGAGCGCTCTTCATTTAAAATCAATCAGTTTTTGTAAACACACCATGGTAGAAGAATATAGGTAGACGCGTCGACACAGCTGCTGGGACAACGAACTGTCAAACCAATTTTGGAATTGAAAATGTTGAATGAAAAATTATTTAAATTTGTAAAAATTGTTGAAAAACGCGAATTATAATAGCTTCCGAATGACGTGGTATAAAAAAAACATATAAAAATCTACTTATATTTGAAAAAACATTAAAATTTTTTTGACATATCAATGTTCCCAAGCGTTGATGCATCTACCTGTATTCTTCTGCCATGATAGGTACAGACAATCTAACCTAATCCTTTTTTGAAGACATGTTCGGTGTAAACAAGGCTTTCGTCGAGATTTATATATTTATAATTAGAAAAAAACAATGATGATGTTATGACAAAAAATTGAATATGGCAACCCTTTTCCAACGAAACCGATCTTGTCATTTTTCAAACAAAAATTAATTTCATATTTAAACACAAAAAAAGAAATTGTAACGTTTGTTGTCTGTGGGTGATGGTGGTGAAATACAACTCTGATTCAAAACAATTTGTCTTGTGTAAACGCCTGGTTAGTTCAATAATGAATATATATGACTATGACAATGTTTACATTAAAGTGGTTTTATTAATACATGTCACTTAGGTTGTCATTCCCATTGCATAAGTGTGAAATAAACCAATAATTGAATTGAAAAAAAAAAAACGTTTTAGGTTTCGATGTGTCAGACGTTTATGATTTTAAACCATAAAAGGCCCACACAATAAAGGCCCTTTGTGGGTGAGTATTATCCCGAGTTTCTGCCTGATTGGTTCGGTGTGTACATGTGTATGTCATATCTCTGTGGGTCTCTGCACTATGCTTGTTTTAACTTTGTTTTTGTTTTTTGTTTATATTATTTCAATGTGTTGCTGCATACGCGTGTGTGTGTGTTCGTGTGAGTGATTGTGGAGAGAGAGAGGCCTTTTCGAATAATAATAAAAACACAAATGTTTTAGTTAAAGTTTGGTTACGGTCGGTTATAGAGCGGAGTGTGCACGTCGTTGTTTAAAATTAATATTTTGTTTTATTTGTTGTTTTCGTAGTTAAATAATTTTATTTGTTGTTATTATAATAATTCTGAATCAATTCTTTCAACGGGAAAGCAAATATAAACATATTTATGAAACGCTAATTAACAAAAAAAAGAGGTATAAAAATCTAAAAAATGTGCATAGCTAAATTATGAATTATAAATAATAATAATAATTAATGAAAAATTACACATTGTTTAAAAATAAATTCAAAATTTCATTAAAACAAAATTATTATTATTTTTTTTTGTGTGAGCAGCTTAGTATAAAATAATTTAAAAACACACAAAAATAACAATAAAATATACTAGAATTGAATTGTTTTGTTGTTGTTTTGCTGGTGTTTATGAAATGAGGGCACTCGAAAAATAAAAATACAATAAATTAAATGAAAGCATATTAGGCCTTACTTGTTGTTGTTGTTTTAATTATTTTGTCTTCTTCTTCTTCGTCATCGTGTTGTTTTGTTTCAACGTTGTTTTCCACTTGATTATTGTTTGTGTGACGAAAAAAGGCGAAAACAACAACAAAATAAAACAATAAAAAATAACCAAAAAAAAAAACAGTGTTTTGATTTGTTAATGCGGGCACTGCAATTTATGATCGGAAACCGACCCGTTCTTGTTGTTTTGTATTTCAGAAGTGTTGATTTTGTTTGTGAATTTTTTTTAAACAAGACTAGTTTAAAAGAAAGAAAAACAAGAACATTTTTTTTATTAAAAAAGCTATTTATAATTAATGTTTAGCTATTTTAATTTTACGAGCGATTTGTTTTTTTTTTATAAAATGAAGTGTAATAAAAATTTAATCACATTTTGGATAAACTGGAAGCAACAATCCGAAAATAATCCTTAAATTTATTGTCAACAGGTAATTATTATATGGGGTGGCGATTACAACTGACAGTTGTAAGTCATGTCCCCATCTTTCAAAATTTATTTTATTTATATGATTTTACCATGGTAGAATTAAGAAGGTTAAGTCATGCAATCATATGTTTAATTTTTTTTGTTAAAAATTATTCATTTGCCATCCCACTGTCAGTATTTATATCATGGTAGAATTAAGAAAGCAGTCATTTAATCATATATTAATTTTTTTTAAGTTATTAATTTGACAACATTTCATTGTCAACATTTATATTTTGAAATCCATTGTATATACAGAAATCAGGGATGGGAACCAGTTTTCTATGAAGTAAAATTTAACAATGGAAACTACAGAAAATGCAGAGATGGATATGCTTGTTTGAAATGACATTACCTTATTAATTTTACCAAGATTTATATTTACAAATCCATTGTATATATACAAATCAGAGATGGGAACCTTTTTTCTTTGCAGTGAAATTTGACATGACATATTTGAAATGACTTTACCTTCTAGATTTTACGATGGATTCTACTTAAATCTCTTTAACTTTACACAATACAGTGGATTTGAAATGTCAACGCCTACGTCAAAATTGAAATCCAGTGAATTTAAGCTGACACTTAAAATCCACTAGATTTTGTTTATGTAAACATAGTTTAAGGCTATAGACGTGCCATGGTAGAAGAATGCACGTAGTCGCACAGTCGACACAGCTGCTGGGACAATGAACTGTCAAACCAATTTTGGAACTGAAAAATTTTTAATGAAAAATTATTACAATTTTAAAAAATTGTTGAAAATGCATTTCATGACAACCATCGATTGGCGTCGTATAGGAAAACATATACAAATCTACTTATCAATCTTCCCAAGTGTTGATGCATCTACCTATATTCTTCTACTATGAGACGTGCAAGAGGAAATTTGACCGGAAAGAATTTGCAATGTATATATAAGGTCGGCGAAGAAGACTACTTTTCACAAC